TGTTCCGATTGCTAAGATATTTTAAACAATAAATAATATGACTTTGTCTTTGAAAACAAATTGAAAGAATAAAAAGAAAAAATTTACATTTCAAATAGAATTGTCACTCTCTCTTTCCTTTAAAAAAACTACTAAGCACCCATACATAGTATCTTTCTGATGAAAAATGAATGAATATACACAACTTTGTGAAACCGGTGAAAATCGGCCGGTCCAATTCACTCAACCGGTCGGGCCGAGCCGGACCGGTTACAACTCTGACTTGCAGTATGAAGGTTAGAGATCTGGGGTTAAGAACCCCAGATTCTTAACCCGAGACACGGGTTAAGAAAACGTAACACGAACCTGACCCGACAACAACTTAACCCGAATTCGACCCGATCAGATAAACTTTTACTTTTGTTTTGTACTTAAGTTTATATCTTTTTATTTACCTATTTGATTAGCAGAGGGCATCGCATTACAGGCGAGTGACCTTTTGCTAATAGTCTGCTAATATTCCAGAAAATTTGAGCGTTATATCTTTCTAAATCGCAATATCAACTCTAATAAAAGAAAAATGTTATCATTGAAAATAATGCGGTTTGGAAAAACATTGTTTTCCTTCAAGAAGAAAAGTTCAACAACAAGCGAATTTAGGAAGATATAACGCTCAAATTTTCTGTAATATTAGCATACTATTAGTGAAAGTACAAAAGAAAATTTCACTTCTTAATTCTTTGTTTTGACTAGGGGTGGTACATTACTGTTACTTTTACGAGTAATCCAAATATCGTATATATCCCTATTACCAGTAAAACTTTTCAGTTTTACTATTACGGGCGATAGGAATGTTCATAAAATTTGTACTAGCAACAGTAAAACTGAAAAGTATTACTGGTAATAGGGATATATACGATATTTGGATTACTCGTAAAAGTAGCAGTAATGTGCCACCCCTAGTTTTGACTGGGTTACAGAATTATTACTGTTACTACACACAGTTTAGAACAAAAAATTTATAACTTGTGAGAAAACTGATATGGGTCCTCCTCTAAGGGTTTTTACCAGCTCACTTTCCTCTATTATTCATTCACTTGGTTACTCTGGCGAGATAGTGGTATTTCCGTTTTACTGGAACAGCCTACATATTCTCTCGACAAAGAAAATAAATAAGTTTAAATCAAATCGAGTCAAATCTTTCCTATAAGGTTGGATTTACATATGACTCCAGACAGTTTGTCTATGGAAACTTCAGACGAATAATACATTTAATGACAAATTCGACTCATTACCGTACTTGCATCCAGATGTTGGGGAACAGAGACTGACACTATTTGTATCCACGTTGTCTGAAGATGTCGCACTCTGTCACAAAGAAGTTCTGCTAGCTCATCAAACAAAAAGGCGTACAAAAGTATAATGTATATTGAACATGCTTCCATATTGCTTTACGGTGACGCTGATCAAAATTACATCGGTAACTGATGATTCGCAGTTGCTTAGTTATGTTATTGAACACTATAGACAAATGGTTATATGCTTCACAAACGTTACCCTGCTTATATGATCTTTATTTTACTTGTTTTGATTTTATTTTAAACATTCTTATTATAATTTGAAACCATCATAAAAAAATGTTGCCTTTGAGCGCTGCACGCCGGCCATTTGGAAATGAAACATTGATTTACAACTGGAGAGAAGAGCGCGCTGATATAAAGTATGAGCGAATTCCAAAGCCACTGCCTTCACAAGTTAATAATGAAAAATCCTCTCGTTGGCTAAATTAAATTCAAATTTTGTCTGTTTTAGTATGATCATTATTTTGGTACTACTTACGAAGACGCTTATGGGACTATGCGTGGATGTCCTCCTCGAGTAGAAACTCGCGGTCTAGAACGTAAGCACTTATGACAACCACATTTTTGTTAGATAAAAATATTGCTTCATTTTCCTTCAATTAGTTTCACGAGAGAAAGCATTCCCCGGTCATCAACCGGAATTTGATACAAATCAAATGAAATCATCAGTGAATACATATCTGACAGAATATCGAGCTGGCTATTGCCGAAAATGTCATAACAAATTGTCGCCCAATGATCTCGCATATAATTCATCTACAATTGTTTGTTTGCAATGTACTGACCGAACATACACGATTAATCCGAATCCAGAACCGTATACATTAACCGTAGAATATCCTCAAATACCATCGGTTAAACAGCGTTGCATCGCTTGTACAGAACTTAACGCTGATGCTAACTAAAGAAATATACAGTTTTTAATTATTTTATATTTTTAATCTAAGTTTTTCAAAGTTTTTTTTTTTTTGACTATAAAGACATTATTTTTCTTATGCCCATCTTTCGCTATATACTGAAAACTTGCTTCCTTTGTCACTAACATGTACGATATATATTCTCTTTTTTTTAGATATTTATTAGTTTTTGTTTTTCTTATATATTTATTTTTTACATCAAAAGTCTAATTATGGAGGCGACCGAAGAAGATCTTTTAGCTACTCAGAAAGCACTTGAAGAAGAAGTGCAAAACAAAGTGAAAGAAGCAGTAATGAGTCAATTTCTTCGGGTAAGCCAAGCATTTTCAACAACTCATCGTAACAAAGTCATTAATGTTGTTTGTTTTTATAGGAAAAATTATCACGAGAAGAGAAATTTACTGAACGTAACATGTACAAATTAAATACACAATGGTTAGCTGTCATGCGTTTAGCTAAATCAAAAGAATTACTGAAAGAAATTGAAATATTATCCCAAACATTCGGCCGTATCATCGATCGAAAAGACACTGTTATTAAAGCATCATCAAAAGATATTAATGAAGCCGAAGAACAATACAATATGGCATTACGCAGTTTTTTTGAAGCATTAGAAAAAATGATCAGTATGTATCAGCGGTGAGCGGGATGAAATTTTTTAACGTCCCGTTGTGTTCAAAACTTTGTGAAACATAGTGTATTTTATTCCGTTAAAATTTTATCCTATCCTGCCTGTGTCGTTCCACGGGATGGTAAGGAACAATGCTGCCCATCTCCGATATGTGTTCAGGTTGTGAATAAGGAGTTGATAAGCGTTTTATTTCCTGTTTCTCTGATTATCCAAAAGATGACAATAAGAGAAGAGAACCGACCATGATAAATAAAGCTATGAGAAACTTTGAGATATAACCTTCATGCTTAAAATTATTTACCCATACTGTCCATTTGTTCAGGTATGCATACAACAACAGTTGATAAATTACTCAATCAATATGAATTAGATGTTGAACAAGTTAAAAATGAATTTCAAAATGAACGAAATAGAATTATTCGTGATCATGATACGTCGAAAACCGAATTACAAGATATTATTTATAATATGGAAAAAACGTTTCTTGACAGTGAGACATCAGCGGAAAATAATTTTCATGCAATGATGGAAGAGTTAAAAAATAAGGTAAACAGACTGTTTCTAAAGTAATTATCTTTCCGTTTTTTTTGACAATTATTTTTAAATTTGTTCAATGAAGTATCGTGAAGATATGCAACAGTATCAGTTGAGTGTTGAAGCACGTTCAATTGCCCTTCAAAACGAAATGACAACAATATCAACGAATTATAAAGAACGTACGAAAGAAAGTAAAGCACAATATCAAGAATATAAAACGAAAGATGAAAAAAATTCAAAAGAAATACGCGACAATACAACATTCATTACCAAAATTACGGTAAATACAACTCATACAGTTTTAAGAGAATAAGAAATTAGAAGTATTTGGCTCATTTAGGAAAAAGTTAATGTTGCTAAAGGTCAAATAGCAGCATTAGAAGCAAGTCATACAGCTCGTATGTCAAAAATATCTCAGGTGAGGATACTAATTTCTTGTTTAATACTATTCTGAGACAATTAAAGTTATTTTAAATAGGAAAAAGAAAATATGAAACGTTATTTATTACAATTAAAATCACAGTTATTATCCATGCAAGAAGAGCTTCGTCGTCGTCTAACAAGATTAGCCACAACATGTGATAGTACAGAAAAACAGTTAGAAAAGCGCGTTAAAATAGCTGAAATTCTATTAACATTTGCCGAAATGAGTCGGAAATTAGAAGCTGAAGAAGAAAAAATATTGCCGTTTTATGTATCAACATTAACGGAAGAAGAGAAAGCTGATGTCGAGGGAGCATTTTATGAAACACCAATTGAAGATATTGCATCGGTATGTACACATTATTGTATTTATGAATCCAAAGTCTTTAGTTTGATTAATTTTAGGAAATGTATAAATATGATTCACTCGAGACATTCTGGAAAGTATGTTTGACTACTATTTTTGAAAAACGAGAAATATATTTTCTAATCATTGTTTTCATTATAGCGTTTCAGTAAAGTATCGCTAGATAAGTTAACATTAGAGAAGGAGAGAAGTATATTACAATCAGAAAACATGCAACTAAAATTGCTGTTAAAACAATATTTAGATGGTATATCTGTTAACGATGAAATTATGAGTCAGACTAATCCATTGATGATATTAACAAGTCGTCGAATTCTAGAGTAAGTAGATTCTGAGTACATCTAGTACACTGGCGCCACCGGATATAGCAGTCAACTCATTTTTTCTGAAAAATTTTAACAATTTTTAAATATCTCTCTCTCATATTAAAAATAGTCCTCATTTTTGAAATAATAGGAAGCTCTCTATTACTCACACTCGTCGATACACATAGTATATTGTGTTTAGTTGTTAAACTCTGGTATTTTTACGTCTGTCTCTTCTTTCTTACAGGACACAATCAGTTGGTAAACCGTCAATGAGTATCAGACCAACTAAAGTTGTTATTGAAGCTCAACATGTTAAAAGTGCTTATTAAACTTTTCTTTTGCTCATGTTTAACAAAGTGCCATTTATCTTGCGTTAACAGTGTTTTTCTACTTAAATGTAAATTTCTTTTCTAAACTATAAATATAATGTAGCTAAGATTTTTCTACGGTATCTTTTCTGACATATCCATCTATTTTAGAAAAATGTTGTTCAATAAATATATAAAGTCATGCAACTATAATCGATAGAGTACAATATCATCTCGGAAAAGTGACACAAACAATGAGCTTTCATTAGATAAAAGTTTTTTATCAAAAAATTTTACAAATTTTCAAATTGTCGTTTGAAAAAAGCTGAAAGTATTTTAATATGGAAACATTGTAAGAGTAGACGTGAAATGGTAGAATACTTATGTACTTGTATTTCAAACAGATCACATGCAAACTCCCTTCGTCTGCAACTTGCACTACCCAAAACCTCGTGTCTCCAAGAGATGTGCAGGGCCACTGCAAGAAAACTCGTTCGTCACACAATTAGTTTTGGTGACCATACCAACGATTATATTATCAAAAAATGTTACTTTGTACTTCTGAAACATGACATTATATTTTCTTCACGTCTTGCTCGTTGAAGACGAAACGACATAACAAAAACTGTAAGCACAAGAACAGCAGCAAGGAGATGTGTTAATAAGTTAAGAGAACTAATCCAATAAATAATAGCGCCTTGAAAAAATGCTGTCTTTCTAATAACACATAACGTCGACACTTGACTCGATGTAAAACCCATAAATGGAATTGATGAATCTGAACACAAAGACGGTGTATTAGCATCGGTATTGTAAATAACCATTGCACATATCAGACCAGCAATAGGTCCTACTGTTCGATAAAGTACATACGGAAGCACAATTACTTTTGAGCTATCAGCAGTTGAATAAATAATACCGAAAAAATAGAGTATCATAAAAGTAAGTACAATAATGAGAACAATGACACAACCGCCGAAAGTTTGAATTTGTGGAATTTGTGCCATGGCTAATAAATTTGGTATAAAGTCGTATAAGATGTGATAGACAAATATAATTACACAGAATTTAAATTTGCTTAGTTGAATCACATGATAGGGAGACCGACGTCGAGATTTTAATGGTTGATCCTTTTTCTCCATCCTTTTTGTTAAAATTGGATTATAAAGCCGTCAGCGCCGTCGTTCAGCTGTGTGACTTCGTTATACTTCTCGAGCGCCAACAGAAAATAGATGCTGTTTATCATGCGCAAAACTATGGTTTGATCTTAGTTGTTGGACTACAGGGGAATCTCGAATCGTACAGTTTTCAAGTATGAGGCATGACATAGTTCAAAATACCTTCGTTACTCTATAGCTTTCCCGTGTATAACCTCAATTAAATATGTAGACTACATAAAAGATCTCAAATAAAAATGCATAAAGCCTGACATATACTAATAGTGTTCTCTAGTGGAGATATTTCATACAAGTACTTGATTACTTACCGAGTACTTGGGAAGTGCTTCTACTAAGACAAGTTTCTTCACTTAGAACGCATTTAAACAAGGACTTGGCAAGTCTTTTTACTTTCCAAGTTCTTGTCTAAGTACCTGCCAAGTATCGTCACTTGATTCACTTCAGCCAGTAATTGGACGAATCCATCCCTCTTTTGTTTTACATTGACCGATCGTATATAAACGTCACAATATCAATCAGAATAAACTTAGAAAATAAATTTAGATATTTCTACTCAGTTGAACAAACCTAATAGCCATACATGCGTCTGCTCTACAAAAGTGGAGGATAATACGTACAAAATACAAAATAAAGATAAATGAAACAAGTGCCTGGCGAAGTGTTGCAAATAAATTTACTTGCGTTGGATCAACGAATAAGTGCTTGGAGAACTACTTGACAAGCACATTTACTTGGAAAAGTTCACAAGTACTGTCCTCATTGCTAAACACAAGTACTTGGCTCAAGTACATTCACTGGGGCTGTTATCACAATCGTGAGTTTCTTCGATGTAATGCTTTACGATTGATGGCTTTCGGCAGTAACGTTCAATTCAATCCTGTTTGACGCAAAGAGGATTATCATGCTTCAGATGACGATCAGAAAATAGGAATGACAGACAATTCAAAATAAACAACTTGTCTTTTGACGTAATTAAACGAGAAATAGAAAGCATCGTTCAGACGTGTTTCTTGTCAAAAATAGAAAAAAGGACGAAAAACGCGTTTTTTCTGGAACGTGTTTAACAGAAAAATAACAGAAATGCGTTTAAATGATTTTCGGAAGATAATGGGAAGCGTTTATCCATAATGGGAAATCAGTAAACGGACAACTTCAGAAAAATGATATCAATTAAGTAAAAGTTGGAACTTTCGATAGAATTGATTTTATCAAGGATTGAGTAAAATGTCGGTATGCAGCGCCATCTGACAGATTTTTGACATCATGTAAATGAACGTATGATGACTCCTTCAAGTTTCTTGAACTTTATAAATATTCAAGAATTCTACTAAACGAACTTTCTTCGAACAAAGTGAATCAGTAATTGAAGTCTGGATCAACCAGTAGAAATCTTGAAATTTTGATCTACTGCTACTTCAAATTTGGGCAGGAATAAAGGTTGTCCCTTTTTTTACTGAGAAACTGGGGTTTGTTTCACAGAAATTCTTAAGTCATCGACTCAAGTCTACACTTAAGTCCATGTCTTATCTTAATTTGAGACAAACTTAAGTTGACGAACTTAAAGTGTTGCACAACTTGAAAAAAATTGTAAAAACAAATAAATCGCAATGACTCATTTATAATATCAATCACATATCCATAGATAGATTGTATCTGGATAACCAGCGACTAAATGGTGCCTGAGTCAGGTGCTTCTTGTCAGGGGCGCCTGACAACAAACTGTTAATGAATATGTGAAAAATTTCTAAGCCAAAAGCACAACTTTCTTCCACTTTTGCATCCTTTCGTGCCTGATCCTGAGCGGATTTTGGAAAAAGGACGCTCAATAGTCGTGATCTTTAGTACCTGGAGAATTGTTTCCCGTTTCTAGAAGTTCTCTGCAACATTGTGTGGGCATTTTTCAAAAAATGTGACTAAACAAAAAAGGAAAGAAAAAACTCCGATCAATCCCATAATGTCTGTCGACATAAAAACATGTTTTATTGCTATTGTAGCTATCCAGAAGCCTATAGTTTCTCCAGAATTTAATTTTCTCTTAACCAGATGTTTTTTCGTACTCGAATATCATTCATTAAATGACTTTTCTCTGATGGCGGAGTCGTTTCGTTGAACAAAACTCTTTTTAACAGAGTGATGTGTTGGTTTAAGGACCCACTCTGCAAAAAAAATTTCTACGGATTTGAACGAAGCTTGTAAGAACTAAAGTTCATAATGTGAACAGGTTATGATAAAAATGTTTGGCTATCATCTACGAACATTTCGGGTTGAAAGCCCAAAATTGTTAACTGTTGCAACCCAAACATCTGCAGTTTTCTCTGAAATAACGTCGAAATTGAAAAACCTGTTTTCTTATATTGTTCAATTTTGTTCAGGCTTTCACGAACAAAAATATCTTGATACGTAAAATTTAGAACAAATTTGAATTTCTGACAGTTCATGAAAGGAGAAGGAAAGTAGGTCATATAAATTATATTTTGAGAGTACAACAAGAGGTCTTTTAGTGGAGTACATTTAAGCAAATTCGAGTGCATATTGAAAAATGATATTTAGTGTAACTTCACCTGTTTCACACTTTTTGTGGTATAAGGGTAGAATTAATACCGAAAATGCTTTATAATGATGAAATATAGCTAATCAAGATTTTAGTATAAAGCGTCTTGCCGTTAAAAGTATCTTCATTTTTTCTTGGTTGTAGACACATGCTAGATACAGTAAGACATTTTTGTGTCCAGGACACATTGGAGGTACTTATAAGACACATTAATGAAAACGATAACCCGCCATCAATAAACCGTCTGTCATGGTTTCCATAGGGTTTTGTCTGTCAAAAAAAATTCTTTCACGGCGTAACGCCCTTCTCAACAACCACGGATTATCTAGCGCCATTAATTCTTTAATTTCTTTTCTTTTATTTATTTAAATATAAGTGTCAATAAAAACTAGTTAAAAAATGTTATTTGTTTACTCTAATTCAATTTTTATATCATATTATAAGCACAGTAAAAGTTAAAACACCTACAGACTAGTCTTAACTTAAGCGTGGACTTAAGTCTAACTTAAGTTAAGTCTATGACTTAAGAATTTTTGTGAAACACTCAAAATTAAGTCTAACTTAACTTAAGACAAAACGGAGACTTAAGTATGACTTAAGTCTAAGTCGAGGACTTAAGAATTTCTGTGAAACACCCTCCTGAACTGAACTGAATTTCTGAGTCACCAGATCGTAAATTTTTCTATCACCCAATCAGAAAAGTTCAGTAAAATCAGTTTCTCAGTAAAAAAAAGGACAACCACACTGTCTCGGAAAAGCATACTTTTAGAAAAAGCACAATTTAAGTGTGCTTTTTCTAAAAGTATGCTTTTCCGGGTCAGTGCAGAATCTTGTTGTCGCACTTCCTTCTTGTTTGTCAGTTTATTAAGTCTTCAACAGATGTTCCTTTACCTTACGTATGAACGAGGCTCCTGCTGCATTTGTCCAACGTTTTAATGCTCTATCAGAACCCTGTACGCATTGGAGAAAAACAACTTCATTTACCTCTATGTAAATTCATCATAGCATAATCGCCTTCGTCGGCACTGGTTGTGAACGGATACGCACCAGTATCAAATAATTTTTTTTCTGGGCACCGATGCGCACCGGTATCAAATAATTTTTTTTCTGGGCACCGATGCGCACCAGTACCAGAAAGAATAAAAGCACTGATGCGCATCAGTGGGGAAGTTTTGTTTTCAATCATCATTTTTGTTTGTCTGTTTTTACTGTTAACATTCAGTGCGTGCCTGCGGATGTGCTAATAATTATTACTGCTTCATCATTTTTCCCCTACTGCCTTATGAAAACTCAAGATTGTCTCAGCATAAACTGCATTCGTAGATAGATTTCAGCTAATCAATCATTTATAGCTGGAACGATAATTGCACGCGTACGTCACACACACTTGAACTCCATCACGGTTGGTACGCATGACGAACATGCATGTACGGTGAGCGTACGACATGATCTGGGGTAGGCGGAATTTATCGACCACCGAATGCAGAAGCAGAATGGTCGCTGGTTGGTTAGAAAATATTTTAGCAATTGAATTTAAAACTAATTACACTACCTCATTCTTAACAGAATATTATGTTGCACATAAAAAAGATATTCATTTTCTTAGACATTAAATGATGTCGCTGTGAATCAACTGGCAACTCATCTTGAAGACTTTTTCGTTTTTGTTTGTCTATGATTATGTACACTGCTTCGTGTAAAATATATATTCTTTATCGCTTTTTCATGTTTTTGTTTTTCAGTCCATGTTGATATTTAAAAAGCTGTTGCATAACGGTACGAAGTAAATTTTTTTTGTATCACAAAAAGACATATAGTCAGTGTAAACCAATTTAGTTATTTGCTTAAATAATATGAAACAAATATCGGCAGATCGTATTAAAGGAAGTATTCTTGGTTCATTAGTCGCAGATTGCGCCGCTACACCGTTACACTGGGTGTACGATGGAACAATTGTCGCCAAAGCTGTTGGAAAACACAAAACTGAACCAGAATTTCATCCCGATTATATATCAAAATATTACCACCCCGAACCAGGTAGCTTGAGCACTTATGGAGAAGAAAATCTGGCGCTGTTAAATTCATTGGCCGGGGCAAACAAGTTCGATATAGAAAATTATAAACAAAAAATACGTGAACTTTTTACAAATCCAAAATATGAAAAGAAAGGTATCTACTTTATTGTTAGAAAAAGTGTATTTGGAGAGATTGTTAATGCTGTTTTTACTGCATACCATAGATAATAATGCTGTTAGATGCCTAGTACATGGACTAGTATATTGAGTGTTATCTGAAATAATTTACTGCTTTTACTTCTATTCGAAATACTTTTTAAGAAAAATACTCCAATCTCTTTTGCTTTGTTCCTTTTCTCTTAGGTTCGGAAAGACCTGTTGGCTACCTAAACAAATGTATTCGTCACTTTTTGAGCACAAATGGTTCATCAACACCAGACGATGATCAAGCAAATTGTTACGCAAAGATTCCACCATTAGTTTGTCTGTATGCTGGTCATCCTGATTTTATAAAAATAATTACAGATTGTATAAAAGTTACACAATCAGACCAGATTGCTCTTGATTACGGTTTACTAGCAGCACGTTTATTAGAAAAAATACTTTTATGTGATGATGATAATATTAATATTGAAAATATTATGCAAGAGCTAGCAAAAGAAGATCAATTATTTTCAAAGACTTTAGAGCAAATCGACAGTGTAACAGAAGAAAATACGTTACACAAGTTAATTCCAATATTATCGAGCGAAGATTCAAGTGCCATACTTCAGCTTGGAAACAGTTGTCATTTACCAGGAAATTTCGAGTTATCAACGTATTTTATTCGATCATTGGAAAATAATGACAATTATAAATCCAGAATTCGTCGATGTATTGTAGCAACTGGAGACAATTGTTCTAGAATATTGTTTATTGGAAGTTGTCTCGGTGCTATAAATGGACTCAAAGGAATACCAGATGAATGGATAAACAAGACAAAAGATTATAAACAATATGAGAAATTGGCCGACAGTATTGTTGATGCTAGAAAACAGTTAATTCAGAAGCTGAATGGTTGACACACTCCAATCAATTTATTATATCTGTGTATTTTTATTAATTTTAAAACTGTTTCTGCGCAATGTTTATTTTATTTATTCATGCATTAGTAGTTTCACTATTTCTTATATAGTTTTTACAAGACTATGATTAAGTTTTGAAAAAGCCAATATATGTCTTTCTACTACAACGATAATTCAAATTGGTAAATAAATATCAGAGATTGTGGGAATTGTAATGAAAGACTCGGTAGATCTCAAATTTTCACTAGAAAAGAAAGACAACGCGTCATATTTTTTCTTGTTGAATTGTGTTAGACATGTACTACAATGCTTTAACTATTCAAAAATTTGTATTTTTAACTGTCATTCAAACTCATTTCAAATCTTTGCTTCAGGAGATGAATTCCAGTTTGCAGCATGGTCTAAAGTTTTCGGATTTATGGACTGTGGTATGTATTATCATAACAAATGTCAAAAAATGATATTTTAATTTTTTATGACATCATTGAAACATTGAAGTATTGCTAGTGTATTGCGGTGTCAGACGTTGACAGAGTAAAATAGTGATGAAAAATTAAAATTTGGTATCGATGTGCACTCATGTCGACAAAATACGAAATTTGTTAAGAACCAAGAGAAGTTTTAGTTTGACGTACTAGTATCTAACAAGTACTGGTAACATTTTTCTGCCCAAAACTTTTTTATCGGCGTACTACTAAATAAATCATCATTATGAAAGTCAGATTGCACATGTTTTGACCATCGTCCAATCAAGCATAACCGAATACTTGATCTAAATCAGGATAGTAACATTTATCTATTCATAATTGATATGATTAAATAAAAAATATTTAAAAAATGTAAGTCACACTTGATTATTAGCGATTCGTAGATGAAAGCGAGAATCGATAGTGTTCTGACGTGTTAGTATAAAAATCCACAGTATCAAACTCTTTTTTCCAGGTTTTAAGAAAAAAACAAGTGTTAACCCTTTACGCCCAGAAACTGATCATGTAAATCAAACTTGAAACGTGTATACCTTTGAGTAGACTTGATGAAATTTTTTTTTGTTATTATCAATCATTAGCTTATATAGTGTCAGCTTACGCTGGAAAAAAATTCCATTGAAAAAACTTTGATTTAGCACCGCGTTACTTTTTTGTAACAGTTATGGTGATGTCCTCTGGAAGGAACAATCGGGCATAAAGGGTTAAGCGTACAGAAAACGTTTTATCTAAAGCCAAAAGCACTAGAGCAAATAATTTTTAACGACTCGATGAAGCGAACCCTTTACACTCAGCAACTGATCATGCAAATCAAACTTGAAACGTGTATACCTTTGAGTAGACTTGATGAAATTTTTTTTTGTTATTATCAATCATTAGCTTATATAGTGTCAACTTAAGGGTTAAGCGCACACGCGCATACGCGTTATTTGTATTTTTAGTAATTTTCTTCAACAATATCTTTACATTATGTCCTATTGATTTACAAGGTTTGACTGATAAAAATAAACTAAATATCAACATAGCAGGAATGAATGGTCAAATCATTTTAATCGTTTCACAAAAAGGCACTAAAGTCTTTGTCTTCAGGAATGCATTCTAGAGTTGAAACCGGCATGAAATGTTGTATCGGTCGACCAGTATAAAATTTTTCGAAACCGGAAAAGATTCGGTGAAATATCGGTAAGAAAGTGGAATAAAATAACTAAAACTTTGGAAGAAAAACTGAAATAATTTCAAACGTTGTAAGACCTATAGGTCTTTCGGCTATAGTCGCTTTCTGCTTGAAGTATAGCTGATTTTATACGCCGTATAAACCCTGTCCTACAGCTACGATGTGGAAAATTTATACTTTTTGTTTTTTCTGTTTTTTTCCATAAAAATAATAGATTCTAAAATTTCGGCTGATTTGTGTGCGCTTTTTGCTTCTTCGGAAAATACAGAGTCAGAATAAGCAAAAAAAATATAGTTGGTTTTGAGTTGCTGAAAAGTGCTTTGTCCTATTCAGCACACTCGATAACTCTGAAGATTTTTGTTTTTGGCGACGGATACTTCCAAAAGTTTAGGAAAAATTTCAAACTAATATTATTTTTCCATGGAACCTTTTCTGCTCCATTTTGGTTGAAATTTTTTTCGAAACTTTTGGAAGTATCTGTCGCCAAAAGCAGAAATCTTCAAAGTTATCGAGTGTGCTGGATACGAAAAAGAACCTTTTCAAGAACTCAAAACCAAATTAATTTTTCTCCGATGATATGCAAATAAAAGCTACACATGTTGACATATAAACTTTACTTTGTATGTAAAACGAGCTTAACACTTTACGGTTAAAAGACGATTCGCCAGCCCATCAAGAAATCAAGTCACGAGTGAAAAATTGAGATATATTTTTTATTTCATATAAACATTACAACCTGTTCCAATGCACACACGGCCATGCGTAAGGAAAAATGTGCTCTAAGTATCTGAATATTTGATGCACCTTTTTATTAAAATTTATAGGCTGCTTGTGGTCCAAGAGATGTTGTAAAATACGTGCACACACTCTGTTACCCTCCTCTTCTAAAAAGGCTAACATCTTGTTTAAATTTGGTCTTTTTGGTGAAATGATTGTAACCTGTAAATCGTCGGCAAAAACTCCGCTCGAATGTGCTTCTAGTTTACTTGGTAAATCGCAGTGAAAAATAACAGACAACATAGGACTTAAAGAACTCCCTTGCGGAAGCCCTATTCCCGTGATCAAAAAGTTCGACCCACACTTGCCCATAATTATTCATGCTGTTCTACCCTTTAACGAATTTAAAACGGCCTTTAAAAGGCTTAAGGGCATTTCCAATGTGAATAAATTAGTTATAGAAACTTCATGCATAACCCTAGCGTATGCCTTCTTATAGTAATAACTAAAGATAAGTTCGCACATAAACTAATATCGATAACCTGATACATAGATAAAACGCGAGTTGGGATAAGACATTTTGAAATAAACCGGACTGTTCGGGGGCTAAAATTGAATTCTTATCTGCCCATAACTTAATTTTCTGAAGAAGAATTTTCTCGTAGATTTTGGAATGTGTGGATAGCAGTTACATGGGTCTGTTATGTTTACATAGGGAATACTTGCTTTTAGTTTATTTAAAACAACAAACTTGGTTGATTTCCAAGTTTCGAGGAAAGTTTCTACTTTCAGCCATTCATTAAAGTAGTTGACCAAGCATTTTACATAACCCGGTAGAAGTAATTTAAGCATTAAAAAATTGGAAATAGCGTCATCGACTGAAGTTTCGTTGGGTTTGAGATATTTTTTACTTCGAAAACAGATATCAGACAAATTGACTCGCTACCGTTCTCAGCTTGATCTAATATTAACTCGAATCAGTGTTAGAGGTGCTGGAGGGAGTAGGAAGAAACTGTTCCTTCTAGTAATTAAATAGGCTATTTACGATCTCGTTTTTATCAGAAATTATTTGATTGCTCATTTGTAATTTAGAAATAAGCAAAGATTTTGACCGGTTAATACGTGAAAGAAATTTCCAAAAACCCGAGTACAATTGTGGATACGCGTTCTATGCTAGAGAGAAAAACTTCCCATCGTTTTGTTTTATATTTCTCCATCTCGTTTCTGACTTCACGAGTTTGAGTCCTTAGCGCTATTCTATCTGCTTCAAAATGGTATCTGTAAAAAATATTTCTCGATTTTCGAATACTTCTCAATTTATTTAAAATGAGGACGTGCAGGTGAGAAGTTGACCACGTCTCTCTGTCTCAGGGCTACCTCCTTCAGTCACAGTTGCATTAAAAATCGCAATTTTGTCGTTTCCCCCACTTTGTCACAAATCAGTTCTTGAGTTAGTTCTAGAATATCTACAATTACCGTATTTGGTGGCGAAATCTTAACAGAAGACCCGTTTAACTGTTTACCTAGTGCTAAAACGACGTTACTATTCTTATTTGTTCCATTTTGTTAGAAGAAATTGTGATCCGTTATACAAAAATCCTTCCATTCTCCGATTTCAGTGCACAAACAAAAAGAGGAGTCCGATTTATGAATAAGATCTACTACTTCATTGCCTCGATAGCACGATCTTGAACGTTATAAGATACGAAAGTGGTGAATTATGTTATCAAGACCCCCACTAAAGTTAATAAATTTCCACATATGACTAGATCAAGAAATAATCCATGTAATAAAAATAATAACAACCATCAAACTACAAATACAATTACAAGTGGCAGTGATGTAGATATTTACAAATAATTAAAAAATTAAATGAAAAAATTGATATTAAAATGAATATAGTTGGAAAATTAATTTCTGAATTTATTCCGGCAATCACTTCACTATTCGAAACAGTTTTATCAATAGTCGTAGCTCCCTGTAATTAGTAACGGTAAAGATAATTAACTATTGATTAATAACTTGAAAGGAAAATTGAACATATTATAGTACTCGTCAAAAGTAGCTCCCACTATGTAACTCAAGAACTATGATAGCTACACTGTAATGTTGGGAATTATTCAGAGGGACCATTTTCAATTTTCGAGACCGAACTCCGGGCAACCTATACAAAGAGTGTTTAGAGACTTTGGTACCACTTTTCTAGCACATGCCCACCGTGCCAAGTCAAAAATTGCCGTGTTTATACGCTAAAACCGTCGTATTACACTAGATCGAAACATTTTTTGCTCAGAAATACCTCATATGTAAATCATTCGATACGGCTTTCCATGCTGATTCCAAATATGTTATTAGTTTTTAATAAGAGTGCGTCTGGTCTGCGAAAATCGGATTTTCCTTCAAAAGCAAAGTTTTTTTTTGAAAACTCAGAATGCAGTCCAGGACCCTTTGGGATCCTTTGCGCTAACATCCTACATGTGCAATACATAGAAGAATATCTTGACAAAGTTTGATGAGATTTGAAGTTGTGTTAAACTGTGCGCACATTCATGCATAGAATCCTTACAAAACCTCTACGAGTTCATACGAAACCTTTTCTGAAAGCAGGGAAAAAGGTATCG